CGAAGTCGACGCGTACCGAATCTCCGAGCAGCCCTCCATAGACACTCTCACTGACCAATTATCACCCCTGAACGTGGGGTCCGGTACAAGCGGCACGGAACAGAAGGTCTTTGAGCTTGTCGACGTCCGGCATATAGGCTTCGCAGTCCCGCAACCCTTGCTCGTCAAGATCAAGTCCCGCTCGCAGCTCAGCAAGGGGCGGTTTCATCTTAAGGATGCATACCTCCAGCTGTATCTCGGCCAGATCCCCGCCCTCTGCCTCGGGATACACAACGGCAACGGCGTCTTCACCAGTATCGATGAGATTCGGCTCGACTCGGAGCGTTGCAGCGCGGCTAAGGAGAAGGTGCAGCCGGGCTTGCGCAAGCTGCGCCGCCTCCTGGAGCAAATCCAGAGCGCCGTTATAGAGCGCGGCCAGGGTGCGAAGCTCAGCCTTATCTGCCAAGGCGGAAAGCTGCTGCTTATGCAGAGAGAGCCTGGCGACTCGTTCTTGCCGCCTACTATACTCAAGCGCTTCACCAGCCAAGTGATCCAGGTCAGTGTGCCTTGTGATCTCTCGCAAAAATGAGACAATGACGCTCCCGAACGTAGAATCAAATCTACATATAAATAACACGCCTGGAGTGCTGTGTTCAAGACATCTGCTGCAGTTGTACATTTTATCTGATTTATTCGCGTTATCTGGTCATCTGCTATTGCGGTGCACTGGTACATGCTCGAAAACTTGATAGTAGCTCTCACCGGCCAATTACGCGCTCTCTCAGGCGCGCCGCTGGTTAGTTCTAACGTTCACCGTTTCTGCCGAGTGCAGGTTAAGCTTGTGATTGGCTCGAGCTTGCCGTCTGTCGAGCCTACAAGATGATAATCCCAGCCAGCCGCAATCTTTTCAAAATCGTTCTACGATACGAAGTTAACGCGTATCAAGTCCCCGAGCAACCCTCGGCGGACTCTCTTGCTGACCAACTATCATCCCTGAACGTAGGTTCTCTCACAGGCGGCACGACCCCGAAAGAGTCCTCGGTCGTCGATGTTCAGCGCATAGGCTCCGCAGTTCCACAATCCTCGCTCGTCAAGGTCAAGTCCCGCACACAGCACCGTGGCCGCAACAAACTCCATGACAACGAAGTCTACCTCCAGCTGTACCTCGGCCAAATTACAGCGGCCTGCCTCGGGATGCATGACTGCAACGACGTCTTCACCCGTACCGACGAGATTCGGTTCGATTCGGAGCGCTGCAGCGCGGCCAAAGAGAGGGCGCAGCCGACCCTGTGCAAGCTGCGCCGCCTCCTGGAGCAGATCCAAAGTGTCGCGATGGAGTGCGGCCAGTGAAGCGCAGCCTTGTCTGCCGAGACGGGAAGCTACTGCTTATGTAGCGGGCGACTAACGACCCGTTCTTGCCACCTGCTATGCTTTAGCGCTTCATTCAATTCGCGATCAATTCAAGAGGTACGGAACTAAACACAGCCTTGGAGCGCTAGGATACATAGGACGATAGTCAGCCGGATTTTTGAGGTAGACCGAAGGGCTGAAGCCTGGAATTCGGGAAACAGTCGAGCGCCGAACACATGAGGCAGCTCAGGCCTGTGCATCGTCTCTATATGTCCTTATGCAAGGGGCTCGCACTAGACCCAGTCATTGCGCCTCATCTCGCTTGTCAACACTCGGAACCACTGTATATATTTAAGCATGGGCGCATTCCGAGATACATGGGGGACCCGGAGTTGGGACTTGTCAGACATTGTAAGATAGGCGCATACCTTGCTGCAGGGAAAGGCCGATATAGAGCATCGATACACCGTCGAAGACAGAGCGGACAACTTTGGAGACGTGTAGGTCAGCGTTACGTTGAAGAAGCATGCGTAGATAATCATCAGCGCCACCCTGCCGCAGTCGGACTGGGCGAGGAAGTGGTTATTAACGTGGGAGATAAACGCAGGACAACGCATAAGACTCACAGAGGCTCAGCGAGGCGTTGGGGTTGGGCGTAGCAACCGTCTCAGCATCAGCTGGACGATTGTGGTCATAGTCCCTCTTCTAACAGCGACTTTGGAGTCGTATAGATAGACCGCAGCGTCTTCTTGGCCAGAGGTTGAAGCAGAGTCGTTGATTGGTTCAGCTAGCTGAACTAGAGGTGTACCATATGAGCAGACCGTATCTCGCGGCCTGGAGAAAATGACATACAGGCTTGTGCCATCCCCTGAACCGCGTCCTTCATGTCAGGATGGGCCGCCACGTAGTTCTCCAGCTCTACCATGTCGCTTGACTGCAGTAGAACGCAAGACGTGGTTTTCTGCGGAGCAGCAAATAAGCGATCAACTTCACGAAGTATTCTGAGTGCAAACGAACCCGAATATCAGCATAGAGAGCATCGCAACCCTTCGAAAAGTTGTCGATCTCGAGTGACAGCTTCCGATATTTCTCGTATTGGTCTAGCTGCGACCTCTCACGGGCGATTTCCGCGAGCTGCTGCTCGAAGTTTGCGTGGAGCCCGAAGTACCTGCCACATCCGAAAGTTGACGTCAGAGCATAAGCGGATATACTATGACGACAGGCGCACCTCGTCAGAACACTCTGTAGCTGGGATGGAGGCGACAGATGAAGCCCCCGAGCAAACGCATCAAGACTAAAGTCTCTCCTATTCCCGAGGTCGTACAGCCAGGTGAGGAACCGCGTTGAGCGCTGCAGGGTTTTGTGGACGCGCTCCAGTGTCTCGCTCGGATAGAGATTAGTCTTCTTCGACCGCCCCAACATCAGCCGGACGGCTGTAGCTGTAGTATTTCCCCCAGGACTGAGGCTGGAGTTGTACAAATAGGCCGCAACACCTTCCCGTCCGGGGGCTGAGTCGTGATGCATTCTACCAGGCTGAGCTAAAGGTGTACAGCGTGAATCGAACGAGACCGACGCAGGTGACGGAGGACGGAGACATACAGGCACGCGCGATCTCCTGTATAGCGCCCTTCATGGTCTGATCGGACGCTAAGTAGCTCTCGAGCTCTGCCATGTCGCTCGGTTGCGCTAGAAGACAAGACGTGGTTTTCTATGAGGCAACGAATGAGCTATCAATGTTATCGGATAATTTGAGCGTGGACGAACCAGAATATCAGCGTAGAGAGCATTGCAACTCTTCGAAAAATCGTCGATCTCGCGCGACAGCCTCCGATATTCCTTGTACTGGTCTATCGGCGACTTCGCACGCTGGGAAACCCCTGCAAGCTGTTGTTCAAGACTGGCGTGTAACCCGAAGTACCTATATGGGCAAATTGTTATTAACACCTGGATACGTGAATACTGGCGGAAGACTTACTTGATCAACACGTTGTGCAGCTGGGACGGAGGCGGCAGATAGTGTCCTTTGGCCACCGTATCAATTGCGAACCCTCTCCTGCTCTGGAAATCATGCAGCCAGGAGATAAGTTGCGTCCCGCGCCGTAAAGTCTTGTGGATACGCTCAAGTGCCTCACTTGGATGGCGATGGGTCTTGTTCCATAGTGCGCGAAAGATCACACGGACGCTGACCATCCCGGCCACTACAGCCACGGAATGCACTGCAATGACGAGCATCGGGTCTTCTTGATAGAGCGTGCGGAGAAGGGGGAGCAGGCTAGCACTGCGACGTTGGATGAGAGACATGACGCGGTTGTGAAATTTAGGAATCAGCTAGTCAACGAGTAAGGAAGTGCGATTGCAATGTGCGACGCACAGATATCCGAGTGGGGAGAATTGGATCTTAAGAAAATTGTCTCGTACTTGGGCCTTATGTACCAGATCGGCGGGCTGAGTAGCGTGGAGCACGCGGTGATGCAACGAGGTTCGCAGGGCGCGGTGAAACATATGGTGGATGTGGTAGCCTATGCTTCGCAATAACGTACCAACCGCTTGGTACCTACTCACACACATGATGAAAGCAAGCCAAAAGAATGAAAGAACTGCCTTGCGCGTCAGTAATGTCTTGCACACGAGCCGGGGCCACTGGCCGCCAACGGCCAGACCTGCAGAGTTCACTTCTTGTTACATTGCCTCGTCATTTCCGAGTGAAAGCGATAATGCTACTAACAAAGAAGCCGGAATTTTTCGAGGCCGCGCGTTCGAAGTGCGCGGATATATAAGAGGAAATCTTGCACTTGTGACCCCGTATTGGGCTTGCCGCTGTGCCGCAAACGTGCTCTGGCGCAGCGCCGTCTCAGGCCTATCTTTGAGCTCACGTCTTTCCACGCCGCCAGACAACTTGCGGGGTCCGGTCGCAGGGCAGGATCGTCGCTTGCCATCGCCATCGACACGGAGAACGCAAAATCGAACCCGGACCATTCCTATCGCCCGGTCAGATTGTAAGCGCACAGAGTCGTTCTCCAGGAAACTGGCCACGTACGCAGCAGATTTCCCGTGAGATTACCCTCCCGAGCAGCCATACGTCCGCCTTGAACGGATCGTACGGTCTGCCGCTGAACTCAACTTCGGGAATATTTGAATCCCATCCGAACCAGCAAGGGGCAATTTTAGGGGACACATCCACTGGGATGTACAGTGACTGCTCGTAATCGAAGAAATAGTACCGGCATGGCGATTGAGATCTTTTCAAGACGGGAGCAGGACCACTAAGGTCTGGTAGCATGTCCAGTTGGGAGGGGTGAAAACCTTGCGGATAGAGCGCGGCAGCATCGATGACAACGTTCTCCCTGGCGCAATCGCTGCACACGCACGTCAGTAAATGACCTCAGCGACGCATAAATAAACAAAGGTCTGAAGGACTCACCGGTGAGCGATGCCTTGTTCATGAAGAAACACCAGTCCCTACAGTTTACATTAGACGACGACGCGACGAGACAAAAACGCGCTGCATACGTTCAACAAGGCATCTATACAGTCTAAGATTTCCTGGAATGTTTGGAAAGGCGGGTCGTCGAAACGTCTGAAGAATGGCGTGACGATGTACGAGATCTGGTCGTCGTGGATGTCGACGAAGTGGTCCAGCATCGGCACGCAAGGGTTTCGCGGGTCTGCGCGCAGTTCAGGCGTCGAAAGCCGCAAGATCATCTTGAACTCTTCGGCTTTTGTAGGCCCTGCTTTGATCATCACCAGCTTGCCGTCCGAGATGCGAGTGGCGTCCATGATGTTCGTCCGCACCTGGACGCCGCCGCGCTCTGTCAGTCTATCGCGCAGCCAACGTCGTGAGCACTCACGGGACGCTTTACTGCATAGTTTTCATAGAGCGGTGGGTCGATGGGAGTCGCTTTGACGCGTCCCTCCTTTGTCCCTTGGTCGCAATACCGAGGGCGCAGCATGTACCCGCGATCTTCGAGCATCTTCTGCCGGTCTCGCCAGTACAGCTCGTAACTATCCAGCGGTGCTGGCTCTTCATGGCTTGGTGCAGATTGCTCGGTGTTGGAGTGCAGGTCTGTGTTCATTTTGTGAGTACGAGTGAAAGGAGCTGTGAGAGGGCGGTCGCCAGGCCTGAGTCCCAGGACAGTGCCTCCCCAGGAGCTTGGCGCTTCTGGAACACGAGTTCGCCCCGGCTATCACCGGCACGAAGAGAACAATAGTGCTTTGTCTGGATAAGGGTGCGTATTTTCGGCACAAGCGACATGATTTCGCGGGAACATAGCACAAAACGTAGACAGGCTGCAGAGGACGGTATGGAATTCGGATTGGAGGGCGGCATCCTACCATGCGGCCCCGCGATTACACAAGGCCGGTCGCCCTCACAGCCCCAAGAAGACAAGTGCCGTTCAATCCAAGTATGAGAGAGAAGCAAGCGACTCACGACTGGTTTAGAGTACCTTCCTTCTAACCCATTATTGATTATCCTCCCCGAGTTTATCACCATTTGAAGCTACACACGATGTCAACTGATGGTCAGAGAAGCTATAGGCGATTGAGGTCGTCATGCTACACGGTAAGAAGCAAACGCCAAACGGGCCTGATGCCTGGGATTTGGGAACCAGGCGCTGCCAAAATTACCATAGCAGGCTGTGAATGTGCCATGTTTGGTACAGTGTGCGCTTACATAATACATTCGCAACGCTCCGGGTTTCTGACTACCTCATGCTGATATAGCGTTCTGGATTGTCCGGAAAATCAACTACAGACGCACAGGTGTATGGTTTTGCTCTTCCAGTAGTCTTGACAGCTACCTGTCTAGGTCTTTGCGCGTCGCCTGTATTGATCGGGTTTCAGTGTTTTTGGGCGCTCGTCACATATGTGCGAAACCTCGCTGTGTCCCCAGCACGCTCTCCTCCACTCCTCCATGCCTCGGTGGATATGTGAGTGCATCGAATAATCCGACAAGTTCATGCCTGCATGCTGCAGAACGGCTAGCGCAGACGTATCTTGAAGCCAGCTATACCTGCAAGGCGTCACATGGCGCGGTTTTCGCCCTCAAGAGCAAGACGCACGCCGAAAGAAGGTTTGAGGATCGTCAGCTGAAGTATATCGCCCGGAACCACGGCACGTAGTGCGCATATTTCAGGGATGTTGAGCCGGAGGACATCGTCGTGGTCGGCGACGGGTGGGTCAACACTGGAGCAGACTAGGCGGCGGTCGCCTTCGGCAGCACGAATACATCCCTCAGTGCCGCAGTAGAAGACCATGTCGGCGGTGTTGCAGGGGCTGAGGTGGGCGGGCCCGGAGATGGAACGGCAGGGGGTCAGAACTACTTATTTGGGGAAGCACCCAGCCCCTCTTTCGCCGAAGCGAAGCAGGATTCCCGACGACGTTGGGCACACCATGGTTCGTACCGTCACAGATCTCTTGGAATTACAAACGCTGACCGCTGCTCAGGGTGGCGACTGTCTTATTGATTTCGCAAGCTTTCCTCGTCGAATGCAACTTCCAGTCGAGATCGATGGCACGCGTGAGTATCATCTACGATCGGATGAGGTCTCTAACGTTTGCGCATAGTTGGATCGCTCTGCATGGAAGACATAATCCCGCATGAGGCAGGAGGGCTAGCTCGGGGCTCAGCGCCCGATGGACCACTGGCGGCATCGCAGGGCGATATACATGTAGGAGGGCATCGACTCTTGGCGGAAGCATCAACCGTCCAGTGCGTGTCCCATCTTCCAGGGGTAACGTGACGTGCTCACCCCTTCGATTGACAGGGTCGTCCAAGTGCCGGAAGAATTGTTACGTGCCCAGGTTCCGATCCCCTTGGAGCTAGACAGTACGCCAAACCCTCCCACTCGCTATCTGCTCAGTTTGCCCAACCTAGACATCTCTAGTCGCATTCATCAAACCAATATCCTCCGAATTGAACCTCGCCCTTCGCATTTATCACGCCCAGGAGTTCTTGACTCCGTACAACCCGATCAAGTCGGACAATCCATTGTGGAGACAAATTATGTAAGAGTTACGCGTCTGCCTCTTCTAGAAGGCACATTCCTGAGCGGTCTGTATCGTAGAGAGCTCAAGGCGCACATGCCGCGACTACTCGATGTTGAGATCTACAAGCATGTTGATTATCCGGCTTTTGATCCAGCTTCCTCTACCGGAGCTATCGCACACGTTCAGCTGAGCCTCCCCAAACTTTTGTCTGGTATGTCTATGGTTGTTCACACACAATTATTTGTCTCACCATTGACACGCCTGGCAGAGGGTGCCGTTGAGCTCAGTGTCTCTGACGGCTCTGATGCCAGCATCGATCTGCCCAATTTGCGAGTCACCCATAAAGTTCCGGGGGCAAGATCAGTCTCTCGTGTACTCCCACTGATTCCAGAGGTGCTCGAGGACAAATTTCCGACACTGACAAATCTTCGTCGTGCCATCGACGCTCTGGTCACTCTCCGAACAGGAAAGATTGAGCTGATCCGCCTCATCCCGGTGAGTGTAGCCCAACATTCCTCTCCCCACTCCTGACATTGAAACGTCATCTGTGTCAGGAAACCCTCTGGGTCTTCTTGGTATCATTATGGAACTATCTGCGAGTGCAGCTGCCTCGCCTCGTCGATGCGAACCGCAAGAACCAAGGGGAGACCAGAGTCCATCCACAGCTGCTGCAGAACAATGCACCCGAAGATCTCCTTGCCCACGTGCGCGATACTCTGGACTACCTCCTCTCGATCAGCGCAGAACCTCCGTCCGCCGAGAGCACGAAAAGCATGGTGGCATGCCTGACAGGCAACCTCTTGCGCTGCGTCCTCAAGGCGACCGCTCTGATCTGGAGCTGGGCCCACTCGTACATCAGCGAGTTGTCCTCTGTTTGCTCAAATTTTCCTGGCTAACATGGTTTTGTAGCGGCCTCATACGCGACAGTGACCAAGGCAATGGATCCCGCACTGGAGACCTTCGAGTCCGTGCAGACGGAGCTCTTCCAGCACAGGATCCGTCTTATCAAATCTCTCGAGGCCGACGCTGAGGAGCAACTCTTGCTCGGCCTGGACGCACTGGAGTTTGTCTTTAGCAAGGCGTACGCTGAGGTCCTGCAGGGCAATGCGTTGGCCCGCCGGCCGTATGTGATCCTGATGTCCGCGCTCCGCGGCAACCTCGCGCAGGACGCGTATACGCGCGTGCTCAAGGTATTGACACGCGCCATGCCCTGTTGATACATACCCTCGGCTGACCTGGACGCAGGAGCTGGACAAGCATACCGACGAGGGCGCGATGGAGCAGCGTGACGCGCTGCGCCGGCTCATCATCCGCATCGCCCAAAGCTCCGGTGCCTTCCCGGCGATCTTGGACATCCCCTCTAACGAGTGCACGAAGGACTTCGAGAACGCGCGCACGCCGCCGGCGCCGGCGGGTAACGGCAGCTACGGAGTGATTTACCAGGGGACCTATCACAAGCGCAATGAAGCGAAGAAGACGGTGGCCATCAAGATTCTCAGAGGCAAGGGGGACATCCGTCTACTCAGACAGGTCCGTGGCCTCGGTCCTCTGCCGCTTCGCGCATGGGACAGCTGACTGCTCCGGGCTCCTAGCGCATGGTTCTCGAGTTAAGCTGCTGGCTGCTCGCCCACGAGCGCGTCATCCATCTGTACGGTGTCACAAGCAAGTACGCAGCCCCGGGCCTGGTCTTCGACTGGGCCGAGAATGGGAACGGCATGGACTATATCAGAGAGCTGCTCGAGCACCCTCAGAAAGTCCAAGTCCCGATTGTTTCTCTCAGTAACCAATGGGTAAATGTTGGGCGTGCAATCACAGAGCACCGGCGTGCTGACAGCTCTCAACAGATCCGCGACATCGCCGACGGCCTCAAGTTTATCCACGATGAAGGTGTCGTCCACGGCGACCTCAAGGCAGTACGCCGAGCCCATGCTCTCGCATCTGCGCCATCTTTGCTGAGCAAGTCTGCAGGCAAACATTCTCATTCATGTGGACAACCGTGCAGTGCTTGCTGACTTTGGGCTCTCACGCTTCGCACGAGACCACCCGAGTGACTATAACCCAGCATGCTTAGGCAGCCTGCGATGGTGCGCGCCGGAGCTGCAGAACGAGGGCCAGACGCGCGCGACGTTCGAGAGCGACATGTTCGCATTCGGGATGCTCTGTCTCGAGGTGTGCCTGCTGCCTGCACCACTTTTCTCCATGCTGCACGAGACTGATGCCACCGACACGCCCAGCTGTACACTGGCAAGATTCCGTACTTCGAGCTTGCAACTGACACGCAGGTTGTGGCACTCATCAGGCAGGGCGTGCCGCCTGTTGACGTGCCGCCGCCGTGTCCTGCGGACCCCAACCGCACACCAATGGCACAAGGCTTGTGGCACCTCATGTATGAGTGCTGGTCACTTGAGCCTAGTCGGCGCCCTCGTGCCTATGCTGTGGCAAGTCATCTGGATGAGCCTGTGACATTCCAGTAGTGTCACATTGTGCTCTGGTCCTTGCATTGGCTGTATAGGCAAGTGAACTTTGCTCGGTCTTGATGTCTAAATGTGTCTTATATTTTGATTCAATTTAGTGGTACTGTTGGAGTGCGGCTAAAATAGTGAATATGTCATGTTTGATACTCTGTGCAAATACATAAGGGCCTGGTGTGGCGAATAACAAGTGAAGTGAGTGATGAGCATGCTGTGAGAGGATCCAAAAGTGAAGACGGCTGAAGAGGTTTCCTTATGCCCGTGCTTTTGACTGTGAGTCTCATCAACACTTTCATTGGATCTTATATACTTGCCTGCCCTGTCCAGACTTTTATGCAAGGATGGAGCACATAAAGACTGCATAAGCCTTGCGTAGATAATGCTATTGGACCAGAGGGAATGTATGTAGAAAATGGGGGTTTGGGGGTTGATTTGATGATACAGGTGGGTTGTGTGACCTGTGAAAAGTGCTGCTTACTGCCAGGGTATGTATATATATATTGGATCCACCGTGGACATTTATTGTCCAAGGAAAGGTAAGCGCCAGATTTTGTGACCTGGTGGTGATGTAGATCACATGATCTAAAAGATAGCGCAAGTGTGTGCTATAATAGTTGGTGGCTATTGGTGCATCAATGGTGTGCTAATGGCAAAAGTGGTGACGGCAATTCACCCCATCCTCTGAACATCAGCCATCATTGGTGATGTGTCAGGTTCCCGCCTGATGTGTCTTTAGGTGCCCCAGGATGCTCTGGACCCAGTCACATGTTGATGATGTCATTACTACATTATAGTCTAGACACTAACTCTAGACTTTTATCTCTGCCAACTCCTGCTGCATTTTCTTTTACAATATGCCTGTGTCCAGACTAATGTTAGATGGTTTATATTCATTTGCCAATTTCACCGAGGGCCAGCCAATCTGTAAGGCATGCGACTTAGCGCCCATTTACCGTAGACACCTTCCTTTTTTGTAACTTGGTGCTCTTGTCAATTGGAAACATGTCCTCCTTGTGCTCGCTCATGTATTTGTTATTGGGTAGCATCCCAGCCTGATATAAGGTTGGGATGCCCCTCAGTTTTGGGCTGGGGGGAGCCGAGCCAAGCCAAGCGAGGCGAGGTGATGTTGCTGAGGGTGAGACTAGAATGCGAAGGTTCAAGTACTGTGAGGAACTTTGGTGGCTTTCGTGGTGACACTCATCAGCGCATTCCAGGAAGTACTTATACCTTGCGCCATGGGACCCCGGGGAGGGGCAGTACCATGGACACCGCATGCCGAAGCCGAAGCCGTCGGATGGGTGCGTAATGGGCATTATAACTATCCGCGCTGTGATTGGCCAGTCTTCAGCGAAATTGGCGGATGGAGTCATTCTAACCTTGTAAGAGGCTCGGGCATTATACCCTCTAAACAGGGGTCCTTTCTGGGTTAGAGGATGCCTTATGGCATGCACAACTTGGAAGTAAGAAAAGGTAATGAAGCTGGATGATAAATAACACAGGAACATTAACACTGATATACCCGATTGTGCACAGTGGCACAATCAGGCATGAGCTCTTTGCATGCTTGAGACATCCAATCTACATTGGGTAGGTACAGTACTTATACCCGATTGTGCACAGTGGCACAATCGAGCATGAACTGTTTGCACACAACTGCAAAATCAGGTGTTGATCTAGCTGTTTCAGCAAAATAAACTTGGTGGAGATAATGTAGTGAGTTTATATACACATATAAATGATAGCACAGTCATTCCGCTTAGCTGTATACAAGCTGTTGTTGACCAGTAAAGCTTGCTGAACAAGTTGCAAGTGGATGGATCTTTTACAAGCTACTGCCAAGCAGCTATAAAGTGTAGCAAACTTGGCGGAGGTGATGAGAAGCATTTATATACACTTTTAAATGATGATAGAATAGCTCCGCTTATCTGTACACTAGTTATAGTAAATCAGCAAGCTTGGTATAATTGAGTAATGCACAGATCTCTGGCAAGCTGCTGTCATATTAGCTACAATGTATAACTAACTGGATGGAGAGAGTCTGGAGCATTTATATACACTCACATATGATAATAGAATAGCTGCGCTTAGTTGTATATAAGCTGTAATTGATTAGCAAGCTTAGGGTTGGGGGAGCCGAGCCGAGCGAAGTGAGGCGAGGTGATGGTTGCTGAGGTGAAACTAGAATGCGAAGGTCCGAGTTCTGTGAGGAACTCCGGATGCTTTCGTGGTGACACTCATCAGCGCATTCCAGGAAGTACTTATACCTCGCACCATGGGACCCCAAAGGAGGGGCAGTACCATGGACACTGCTGCCAAGGCCGAAGCCGTCGGACGGGTACGTAATGGGTATTATGACTATCCGCGTTGTAATTGGCCGGCCCTCGGCAAAAACGGCGGACGGAGTCATTCTAACCTTGTAAGAGGCTTGGGCATACTATATGGGGATGGTCAGCAGGACCACTTTGATGCGACTTAAGACCGGTTAGCGCGGTCAAAAGATGACGTAGTTATGACGTCAGCGTCACGTGGTGGATCCAGACCGTCAGGGGACCGTCCGCTGATGGCCGTAAGGCGCATCACCAACGTCGGCCCGACGTTGGTGGGGCGGAATGATCCTCCATTACTGCCCACCGCCATCAGGCGCATCAGATGCGTCCAATAGCCGCCGGGACGATAAGTGCCTCGGTTGGCGCTTGTTTTGGGTCACGTGATTTAGACGCTTAGGTTTTAGGGTTTGGGGGGAGCCGAGCCGAGCGAAGCGAGGCGAGGTGATATTGCTGAGGTGAAACTGGAAGGCGAAGGTCCGAGTTCTGTGAGGAACTCCGGATGCTTTCGTGGTGACACTCATCAGCGCATTCCAGGAAGTACTTATACCTTGCACTATGGGACCCCAAAGGAGGGGCAGTACCATGGACACCGCTGCCGAGGCCGAAGCCATCGGACGGGTGCGTAATGGGCATTATGACTATCCGCGTTGTGATTGGCCGGCCCTCAGCGAAATCGGCGGATGGAGTCATTCTAACCTTGTAAGAGGCTCAGGCATACTATATGGGAATGGTCAGCAGGACCACTTTGATGCGATTTAAGACCGGTTAGCGCGGTCAAAAGATGACGTAGTTATGACGTCATAGTCACGTGGTGGATCCAGACCGTCGGGGGACCGCCCGCTGATGGCCGTGAGGCGCATCACCAATGTCGGCCCGACGTTCGTGGGGCGGGATGATCCGCCATCACCGCCCGCCGCCATCAGGCGCATCAGATGCGCCTGATAGTTGCCAGGACGATAAGCGCCTCAGTCGGTGCTTGTTTTAGGTCACGTGATTTAGACGCTTTCTTACCATGATCACGTGGTCGTACTTCAGGCGCCGTTAGGTGCTTACGCATCTATCTCGGATATAGTATTTAGCCGGTTATGAGCACTTGTAGAGATCGGTAGGGGCCGTTTCGAGCGCCGACCCCTGCCCTTGACGCTGGCTGCTACCGCTTAATGCTGGCTGCTACCGCTTGACGCTGGCTGCTACCGCTTGACACTTGCTTCTGATGCAGTGCGTGGCTGCCAGTGGCGACTGCATGTGTGCAGAGAGGCGGCCAAGTACATCAGAGTGGCTGTGGTCAGCATGCTTCAGAGAGCGACCGCCAGTGGCGACTGCGTATTTAGTGGGGAAGCAGCAGAGTAGTTGTGGTCAAACCTCACCAGCGATATGCAAATGCCAGTGGCGACCGCACGTTGGCAGGGAGACATTAAAGTACTTTTGGTCATAACCTTGCAAATTGGTTAAGGTGTCCAGTGGCGAACATATATGAGTGAAATTAGTCGAGCAGCATTAGCCAATCTTACGCTCTATATGGCTGCCAATGGCAACCACATATGTGTTTTGTTGTTGTTTGTGGGAAAACAGCACAAATAGCTTTGGTCAACCTGGAGGGCTGCATGTGGCCGCCAGTGGCGACCACATATGCGTTCTGTTGTTGTTTGTAGAAAAACAGGACAATCAGCTTTGGTCAACCTGGCGGGCTGCACGTGGCCACCAGTGGCAACTGCACATTTGCAGGAAGAAGTTAAAGTGCCTTTGATCATAGCCTTCCACACTGCATAAGGTGACCAGTGACGACCACATACAGGTGAAACGAGCGATGTAGTATTAGCCAATCTTGCAATCCACACATGCCGGTGGCCTAATCACGAAGATAGCAATCATGCATTTTAATGGCTGGGAGTAGAAATATTTATCTCTTACATGCAAGATCACCAGCAGCGGACACTCAGCTGGCAGCGAGTAAAAGCACGCTTAAATGACTAGTGACAAACATCTCGCCATGCGGACAGCAATGTGCGTTGTGCGCTAGCTATGCTTTGAATGGTTGGCTAGTTTGCACATTGCTGACAAATAATCAGCCACTGTCTGCAGATTTGCTCCTGGAGTCCCATAATAGCATTTACTACACCAAGAAACATGACGATTGAATTTATGATTTATACAACATACAATTCACTCCTCGCATTCCATGTGCTCTGTCTCCACTGCGTCCACACTCTCGTCGAGCGCAGCTTGATATGCCGTTGCTTCGGCGATGTCTGGCACTGCTGCAGCCTCGTTAGACAGCGCTCGCTCAGCCTTCCAGCTAATAGACGGTGACGGAGTGGGGGAGCAGTAGTAGGTGGGCGAAGAGGTGAGGCTGATTGTCAGTATCTCTGGAGAGGGAAGAAGCCACTGGTTGTCAGCGCCCTGCACTTCTTCTTTGAGCTCGGCGAGGTACAACGACGCCGCTGGATGATCGTTGTCGTTCGCGTGCTCGATCTCCTGGTCGCATTCGTTCGCATGCTCGATCTCCTGATTAAAGTCCTGTGCAAACTGGGACCCCATTGGAGGGTCCTCGGGCAAGCTCTCTGGTTCTTCGTAATAACCCCCCCAAGGCAGCTCAAACCTGGGCAGATGGCCCACAGAAGCGACGTGATGCCGCCAACGCTGGATGCGAGAGGTGGTCTCTGGAAAGAAGTTGACAGCGAAGGAGTATTGTGTTGCTATCATACACACTTACCTATCATGGACACTGAAAGGGTGATATTAGTTAAGACGGCTGCTGATGCTAGCGCGACATAGTCAACTTGCCTGCAAATTCTGTAAGCGGGGTGATAGGCATCTTGGTGGATGTAGCAGCTGCAAAATTTGAAAGTGGGTGACAGACTTTTATACACTGGATGGCTGATGGCAGATAATGGAATCCAGCGTGATTTCACTTGTGGCGAGCGCATTGCGCTCATACAATCGCACTAGAATCAGCATACCTCGTTAGATCAGAGCCACAAGCTCGACATCAGCCCGCTTATTTATGAGGGTACGTAAGGGCGTGGAATCTGGCAATAGTAAAGTCGATGATGAAACGTAGCCGCGAGAGATTGCGAGCCTAGAATCGATACACATGATTCGCCCGCCAGTGGCGACTACATGGCAAACTGTATTGTTCGGCACACACGCACCGGTACTAGAGAGATTTTGTACACGCCCTGTGATTGCCGATGTCAGCAGTGCACGCATGCTGCAAGAATCAATTCATTTTCGTGCGGTCGAGTCATTGTGGGCCCCACTAGTAGTGGCGACGGCTGATTGACGCCGGATCCCAGTCGCCGCTGGCGGGTACGTTGTTCGATAAACTGCATCAGAGTCAGTCATTGCATCCGCGTTTTGCCCTTTATAAGCTAGCACGGATATGAAACGCGGGATCGTCCCATAATTACCGTAAGCGAGTGTGTCAGGTGGTTTTGTGGAGCACCACAGTAAGACACCCGCCAGCGGCGACCGCCTCGTGCCCAGGAAACTGATTGCCTCTTCTGGACATCTGCACTGGCGGGCATGCTGCTTTAGGGGAGCAGTACTATTTTGGCATGCGGTATACTCGAGCAGGTGCTATACGCAGCAGTCACCGTCTATACTGGCCGCGAGAGTGTCTGTTTACATGGGTTATAGGCTGCATTGCAAGTTAGGAAATGGCCAGGGATGGGCGCTTATATACACAGAGATGGGCGCCTATACACAGGTATGCTCTCTCTTGTTAGCGCCCACCTCCGCATCGCGCTCTGTGCTCCATCCTGGATGGAGGCGGCACAACAGGCCTCCGGCGCTCTGTGCTCCATCCTGGATGGAGGCGGCACAACAGGCCCCCGGTGCTCTGTGCTCCATCCTGGATGGAGGCAGCACAACAGGCCCCGTGCTCTGTGCTCCATCCTGGATGGAGGC